AAATATCCTTTATGTGCCTAATGAGAAAAAAACTCTTTATGAGTTCTCATTAAACTCCTGAGATGATAATTAAACTTAAGCATGTGAGCAATGTTTAAAATTTTAATGGGAACTGTAATCTTCATCAAAATCAAATTGAGTCTCTCATCAAGAGGACAGAGAAGCCACAAAAGTGATCAACAAATTGTTCTGCAAATCTCAGTGTGGACTTGGTGGATTTGTAAACCTCACCTAGCTATAAACTGACCATGGATGCTGCAAAATGTTGATTTTACCAGTGGAAAATGGCAGAGAATGGTTATTTAGTGACAAGATTGTATTCACTGTTATGGTTTCATTGAATGCAAATTTTTCTGCTAAAAAATCTTACAACATTGCAGTGAAACACAAAAATGTCATCTGAAGTTCAATGACCTTCAAAAAGCAATGAAAGACCAGTAAACACTTCAGATTAAGTGCATAGATAACTTTAAACTTGGAATATTAAGGAGATAGCAGAAGAAAACACTAAAACTTCTAGAAGTTAATCACCTGAAGCCAAGAGGGTTCACAGCTGTTTATTAAGGACTGGAAAGAGCCAAAAAATCTGTTTGTCTCTATGATAACACAAAGCAGCAGAGCCAAAAGTGGTCACAAAAGTACCCATGAAACCAAGGGTAAAAATCACAGATTCTTTTTCCAGATGTGCTGCAGCTGCTGCAGTAGGAGAGGGAAAGGGCTTTGAAAAGTTGTGTCCTTGAGGAGGGTGAAGCAGCAGAGCTTCCCTGGGCTCTGGCTGGAAGGTGGGCACAGAGCTGGCTGTCCTGCAGCACCAGGGGATGCCACCACAGTTCACACAAATTATCTCTGCTCTTACACTTCCCCCTCAGGCTTAGGGCTGCTGCCTAAATTCACCCAGAGCCTGGTGACAAAATAAAAGGTGAAAAAAGCTCCGAACTTGGGCTTTTTCAGACCCACAGCAAAGGTATGTCATGGAAGTTTTTAAAGGTTAATTAGTGGAAGCATTGGTGGGAATCCATTTGTGCTCTGTTTCAAGTTTGTCTCTGTTTTGGTGTTTGTCAGAAAGGTCAAGCAGCTGGCACAGTGTGACAAAAGAGACAAGGAAATCTGACTGGGTCTCTGTCACTCACTGCTGAAATCCACACTTTGGGGAGATGTCCCAAATTCAGTGACAATAATGAGCTGAAGTTAGAGGAAAAAACCCACAATGATACATGGATAAGAGAAGGGAAAGTGGATGGTGACAGAAGCTGAAAATATGTGACAGCTTAAAATATCCAATGAAAAAAATGTATTTCCTAACTAGCACAGACAATGGCTTCGTTCACATTCATTTTCATCAGTGTTTTACCCACACAAAGCTCAACCTCCTGGTAAAAGCCATACTCAGATATTCCTAAAACTCTTCTGCTGCCAATAAATTAAATTTAGATTAGAGATTACCGAATGACACCACATTTCTACCAACATGTGTAAGCAGATAACATTTCTGCAGATTCCCAACCTGACTCACCCATCCCTGGAAGTGTCCAAGGCCAGGCTGGACAGGACTTGGAGCAACCTGGGATCATGGAAGGTGTCCCTGCCCATGGCAGAGGTGGAATGAGATGGATTCTGAGATCCTCCCAACCCAAACCAGTCTGGGATTTGCAGGTACTGAGAGCTGTCTTTGAGAGGTTACTGCACTTGTGGTGATCAGGCTGGATGAGAAAAACCCAGATGATAATGAAACCAATAAAAATGAGCAGCTGGATAACCTGACAGGGATAGTTAAGAGAAGCCAGGCAGCTCCCACTGTGTTTTATGATTGTCAGGGCTCTGCATGGGAGCAGATGACTGATGGTTGGCATTATCAAGCAGAATGGAGTATTGCCTGTTTCAACCTTTCATTTGTTTAACCTTTCCTGCGTGGGTGAGGCTGTGCAGCTGAATTTCTTACTACTTGGAAGGGATTGTATTTTTCTCTTTTATAGCAGGGATGATCAAGATTTAGAAAAGTTCTCACATAAGAGAACTGCTATAAGCTGTTCAAATGGATCTGTAATTACAAAAGGGCTGAATCCACCCTCAAGTTTTATTTCTTGGCATCTCTGCAGGGCTGTCTGTTTTCCTAAACACTAAAAGGAAAAGAGATTTAAAGCACAGACTTTAGAAAAAAAATTACCTGTTCTAAAGAGGTGGAAAAGGAGGCTAAATAGAAAACATTGGTATCCAGATTTACTGGTTTGTGGTTTGGATGTGTCTGAAGGTAAAATAATGGTGCTGTGTATTTCAAAGGAAAGGAACATTTTAACTCCCAAGTGCATAACTACAGCAGTAAATAGGGCACACATCAGTTTGCCCTCATTATATGCAGGGCAGGCATAAACAGCACAAGATATTCACACATCTGATGTTCCTGGTAAAACTCCTTAGAGCCTCAGTGTTTTCCAGTGCTGGACAATCAGAAAATAATTGCACAGACAACTCCACTTGACAGCTATCAGGCCATTTATTTAGGAATGCCTGGACTAAAATGGAGTAAGGTCACCTGCATGAGTCCCAGTTCTGCTGTGCCCAAACTCGTGTAAGCACTAGTGACAGCCAGGAAAGAGCACCAAAGCCACTGTCCCCAGCACCTGAGGCCTTCAGCAATCAGAGTCCATCCAGTCTTAGCCAACACATGTCCAAGAATTCCCCATCAAATCCATTCCTTCTTATCAAATGAAAAATAATTTCTCACAGGAAGAACCTCAGTTCTGAGAGCAAAGCAAAGGAACCTCAAGGTTTGTAAAGTTAAACTCTCACACCATTATGTCAAGGTAGAAAGACCTCATCTGCCAGGACTAAAGCAGTGGTTTCCACCTTCAATCCCATTTAAATTTGGCTATTTTGTTCCACTTCTGCCAGTGCATTCCAACCACCCACAAAGTTGCCTTTGTGGCACTCCAGAGAGAATCCATCCAAAAAACTCCATTCATAACCCAAAAAATCTTGTGTGCTCTTGATCTTTCATGATGCTCATAAAATCTACATATGTCAATGAACACAACAAATTTAACTGCAAACAAATTGTCTGCTGTCATTACTCCATATTCCAAAATTATTTCACTTTGTTACCTGCACAAAGACATCATTAATCCCTTCCCACCTCTCAAGAAAAAAAAAAATCCCTTCTTGACAAACTGCAGTTATATTTGCTACACAGAAATACATGGCATACAGGATGCTGTAAGGGTGCAAAGAGGGTGAAATCAGTAAAATATAATTCCACATGATGGAATGATTGGATGAGTTGTTTACTTCTGGTACTTAATTGAAATGATACTGACTTGGAGGCGTTCCATAATTTCAGTCACAGAGAATTAAAAGTGCACTCTTCTGTTTTATTGGAGCTTTTGCTGTTTTTTAATGGTATCTGCAGAACCAGGAAGGGCTGAAATTGCCTAAGAAATTTAGGAATATGATTGTTTACTATGCAAGGGCTCTAGATTAAGCTTTTCATTCTGCAGTCTTTTGCCTTTTATGTGTTTCCTTCATTCCTTGACAATAAAAAAAATAATTAATACAGATGACACATGGTATTTTTACAGTAACTTTTCTACTCTGCTTTATTTTTTCCTCAGTTTCAATGGTATTTTGCTGAACGTCTTTTCCAAGAATCCTATCAAACTGGCAAAAACTCTAAATAGCAATCAAAATGTTTAAAACAGAATTGTATTTGGAAGAGTATGGTGCAGTCTGCTACCAAGCATGTTAAGAGATGTTTATTTAGCCACAGACTGGCTAAAATCATGCAGCTGACTCCGGTTTCTTAGGTATAATTTAGGTCGTAACATTGAAGCTAATGGAGCAAAGTCGTATTTTCATCAGCTGGCACTTTGCCCAGTGTTGATTCTTTCCTAGATGTGCTCTGCATCTTTCCTGAACCTCAATCCTGTCCTGCTGTACAATTTCACTACTCAAAAGCCAACAATAAAGCAAAACTCCTGCTCCCAAAGAGGCATGAGGCCAGAAAAGCAGCAGCAAGAGGAGCAGGCCTGCAGAGCAGCCCAGAACCCCGTGCATGTCACAGGAAACAGTGGCATGAGACATGCAGGAGCACAAAAGGCACCTCAAGTCAGGTCAAAAAGAAAAAAGATGATATGAGAGGATTTGTGCATTAAGCACCTCTCAGTGACTAAGCCTCTCCTCTCATACATGACACAAGTGGCTGTACCCTCAGGAAAAGCTTTGTTCAGGTCCTTCTCCCACATCAGGGAAGGATTGCCACACCACAGTGGTCCTGATCCCAAAACCTTTTTGCCAGGTTTAGTTCATGGAGTAAAACTGCAGCCTTGAAAAGCCAGAGGAGAAAATGCTCTGGAATTTAACTCTGGCAGCACAAAGCATCCTTAAATCTAAACAACCCAAGCAGGAAAGCAAAGGTGGGTTACTCACTGCAGGCTTTTTTCCTGAAATATAATGCTTATCAAAGGGGGGACTTTCAGAGAAAGAGAGAAATTCTGACACAAGCTTTAATCACATTAAACAGAAGTTGTCGCCTCTCAGCTTTTCCTCCCATATGAGAATAATACATAGAGTGTCAAAACTTTTTTGAGTTGCAAAAATATACCAATTTCATACTTTAGATCCTTTTTCAATTTTTCATTCAGAACACTTCTCGTTTGTAAGTATCTCTTTTTTGCTGCTGTTGTTTTTTATCCTTTCTCTTCAATTTCTAAAGAAAACAGATTGACAAAGGATTAAACAACCCAACAAGCAGAACATTTCATTCCAGCTCAGCTCAAATCACCTTCCTCCATTCTCCCCGTCTCTCCCCTCAATCGGAGGCTCCTTTTGGTTCGACTTCATTCTGATTTTTTTCCCACCAAAAATGAGAACCCCCCCCCCCCGAGCATCCATCCAGCTCCACAAACAGCAAGGCCTCATGGTGCAGAGAAAAAGGCATGAAGAGATGGGCTATGTAACTCTCACTACGACTACAGCCAGGCCGGGAGAAGCAGAGCTGGCGCCGAGCTCTACCGCCGCTGCCACCGCCGCGCCCGCTGCCGCAGCCGGCGCGCCGCCAGGCTCAGGGGCTGCTTCCCAAACTTCCTCATGATCTCCTTGATCCTCGCCAGGTTGGTCTTGGAGATGGTGAAGTCGCACTGGGTGGCCCCCATGTCGTAGCCCACCTCGCAGGTCTTGGTGGCACCGGTGTAGCCCTCGGCCTTGACGCCCACCACGTACTCGCCCGGGTTCAGGAGGCGCCAGTAATCCCCATCAGCTCCTGGAGGGGGGAAAAAATGATGGTTTTCAGGGCTTTGGTCCTTTCTCCTTGAGGAAAGTGGTGTTTATAAAGTCACAGAATTGCTGAGGTTGGGAGACATCTCTAACACCCTCAAGTGCAACCATCAACCATCACCATCATGTTGACCACTAAACCATGTCCACACGTGCCATGACCACAGATTTTTTGAATGCTTCCAAAGATGGGGATTCCACCACATCCCTGGGCAGCCTGCTCCAGTTCTTTAAAACCCTTCCCATGAAGAAATTTATCCCAATATCACATCTAAACCTTTCCTGGGGAAACCTGAGTCCATTAGATGAGGACACAGAATCACATGGGATAAGCTGATTTGGAAGGGACTCACAAGGACCATCGAGTCCTTTCTCCTTTCTCCTTGAGGAGAGTGGTGTTTATAAAGTCACAGAATCGCTGAGGTTGGGAAACATCTCTAAGACCATCAAGTCCAACCATCACCATCATGCTGACCGCTCAACCATGTCCTCATGTGCCATGACCACAGATTTTTGGAACACTTCCAAAGATGGAGATTCCACCACATCCCTGGGCAGCCTGCTCCAGTTCTTTAATACCCTTCCCATGAAGAAATTTGCATCCAAACCTTTCCTGGGGTGTCACAGACATATTTTCTGAAAAACCTCTTTGCCAGGATTTTTCTCCTGAGAAGCTGAGAAGCCTCAGAGGAAAAGAAAAACAATGGTTATCTGCTGCTGTGGAATGCAACAGGGGCATCTTTGATTGGTCTCATGTTGTTGTTTTTAATTAATGGCCAATCACAGTCAGCTGGCTTGGACTCTCTGGTCAGTCACAAGACTTTATTATCATTCCATTCCTTTCTATTCCTTGCTAGCCTTCTGATGAAATCCTTTCTTCTATTATTTTAGTATAGTTTCAATATATCATTTTCTTTTAATATAATATATATATCATAAAATAATAAATCAGCCTTCTGAAACATGGAGTCAAGGTTCTCGTCTCTTTTCTCATCCTGGGGACCCTGCGAACCCCACCAGACTGGGACAACTTGAGTCCATCAGATGAGGACACAGAATCACATGGGATAAGCTGATTTGGAAGGGACCCACAAGGATCATCAAGTCCAACTCCCAGCCCTGACCATCCTCAGGAGAAGCCCTTGGCCATGGGCAAGATGACACCACAGGTAGAACCCTCCATCCTCACACCAGGAGGGTGTCCAAGGGGCTGCCCCCACCACAAATACCCCTCCTCATCCTGCCAACCCTAGACAAAAACACATCTCAATCGTATTTTCCAAATGGTCCAAAAAGGCTCCAAACCAGCTGCAGGTTTTTGGCAGTTGGAAAGGCCTGAGTAAAAACCTGTTGATTCCCGTGGGGTAGAAAAGACTTCTCCCAAACCAATCCTAACTGAGGGATCCAGAGGAGCCCCAGTGAAATATCCCCATCACACAACCCTGATCAGACTGCCAGGACACAGACTTTGGTCTATTTGTTAGGAAGAGTGTGTGAATACATGATGCCAACTCACTTTGAGGTGTAAGTAAATATACCCTTCTATTAAGCCTTACATTGGGGTTTATTACACTGATTTTCCTACAAAGTAAATTCACCAGGATGCTTAACCAGCTGGGTAAATGTAAATGCACAAACCAAGCTCCAGCAATCAACTAACCTACTCAGAAAAATGTATTTTAACACCTCATTGAATCAGGAGTTTTTGGTTTCTTCTTTTTCCCCACAAACAACCTCAGATATATCCATTTTATGTACCCATATGTGCATCAGGATTGTTTTAGGCTTCTTTTAAATACAATTTTAACCACTGAATATTCTTAGCTGTGAATTGAAAAAGGGGAAAAACTATTACCTAAAATTAGTTTTGCACTCTGTCCTGGAGGAACTCCCTGTGAAGGAAAGTACATATTCAAATATGCAATTCCATGTAAAAATAGAAATGGAACATCTCCTGCGTGAGGAGGGGTTGGGGTTTTTTAGCACTGATGAGACCTGACAGCCTTACTAACACCAGCCTGGGCACACTGGCAGTGCAGAGTGGAGCAAAAACTGAAGATGATTTGCATAAAAATATTTTATTTTGGGAAGGATCAGGCTGGTCAGCCTCTGTTTAAAGAAACAGCGTTTTAATTTAGGATTTGGTAAAATAAAAAAATGTGTTTGCAAACAGCAAGTGTTAACAAATGGCAATATTGACTATACCCTGATAGTGCAGCCTCTGGGTGTGCCAGAATTGTCCCTGGTCAGGTCCATTCTTACATCCTAACGTGATCAGGGGGTCTTTAAGTCAATTTGACCACATTTGGGGTGATAAAAAGGTCCACATTTTCTGTTCCTCATGACTCAGGGATTTTTAGGAAAGGCTCTAAGAGAGGCTCTTTTATTCAGCTCTCCCTCACTACTGGGACTGTTGGAAGCTGAACAGAAGGCCAAACCACAAATCTGCCCAAATTCCTCCTATTTATCCCCAAAGGGCTCATTTTTAGCTGTAAATGCCCTGGCACTACCAGGGGGCAGGCAGAGGGCTCTGGATCCCCTGTGGGTGATCACATCCCTGCTCCCAGCCTTGCTTTAGCCCCAGGACTGCAAAGCTGACCCACATTTTCCCGACACATTTAGCAGTCAGTTCATCACAACCCCACCCAGGGCCAGGAATAAACCTACACCTTCACACCCCACTGGGAATACATTGCAAAGCTGGGTATTAAACCTTTCAGCAAGGACACATTTTCCCTGCTTTCCATTTAGGAGCAAGCAGACAGGAGTATTTCTGTCAGCTGTCAGTGCCCAGAATTTAATACCAGGCTAAAAGGTTGGGGTTTACTGAAAATCAGATTAAATCCAGTTTAAAAAAAATAAATCAGAACAGATGGCAAAAAGAAACACAATTAAAAACACAGATAAATTTAGTAAATAATAGGTTTGCTGAAATAATAGGTTCCAGTGGGAGCAGGCTGGAGGCAGACTGCATCCATACCCACCTACTGGGGCTGGAAAAGGATTGCCATGTCTGCTTTGATAAAATAACAATGCATTACAGGACAAAGATAGCATTGCTATGAATTTAATATGTCAGACTACTCCATAAATTCTACAATTTAGAGAAATGTCCTTTGAGCTTGATAGGACAGAGCTTAGTTACAACTAAGCAATAGTAAAAGTGCAAAAGCAATTTTTTCATTTAAATGTGCTAAACTGCACTGATTTAAATACATTATAAAAATCTTTCTAATGCTTTTTACCAACAAAAGACTCTCCAGGAAACCTGGCCATATTGCTGCATACCCAAAGCATGTAACAACTGAAACTCAACTTTTCTGTATGGACCAGGCAGCCAGGAGTGAGGCTGGAGAGTTGTAACACCCAGAATTATGCTTAGCTTGGACTAATTAAATAAATATTTAATATAGAAATATATTTATTATATTAAATATTACTAAATGCTACTTCAAAATCCTTGGGTTTTGGTACATAAAGTATACTGAAATCACTGCAAACTTACCAAGATATTAATAAAAATTTCTCTGGACGTTGTGTGAAATTAAATTAATTACACTTTGGTTCAGAAACCACACAGAAGCATCTGTCTTTGAAGCATCTGTCACTTCTGGCTGTGACACAGAAGTGTTTCACCAGGAAGAAACTGCACATTTCTCCATCAATATTCACTTTGTTATTCCCCAAATTACAAGAGGCAACCCCCAAAACTGCCTTGGCACCATGGAGGGGGAAAGATGCATTTGTTCACCCAACTCTTTTTGCAGAGGTTTTCTCACGGAGTCCAGCCCAAATCTGACTGTAACAACATGGAATCACTCAGACTTAATCAATAGTTACATCTGCATTGAGGGAAAATGGAATAATTCCCCACAAAGCTCCTGGAATCAATGCCTTCAATTAGGCCATTAATGGTGTTAGCTGAATGTCAGCATCCCTCTCCTTCCATCAGGGATATTGTATCCAGGAGAAAGCCAAACCAATCTGCTTTTATTTCAGTCCACAGGAAGAAGCAAAGGAATTTTCTCAAACTTTTAAATGTTATTACAGGGCTTTTACAGGCAACTTCTGTCTGGCTCCACAGGGCAGCTGACCACGTTAATGCAGAAGTGAAACAGCAGAGCTCTGCTCACTTGAAACAAAACTTTTGTGAATAGAGATCCTGGCCATAATTCTTCCCTTGCTTGGCCTATTTTTACATCAAGGCAACTCAGAGGTTTAAATGGGCACATTTTTCATTTTAAAAGGTATAAATGAAAGGAGTCTGCTGACAATTTGCCTTCTTTATCTGGAGTTTTACATGTCATTTCAGCTTTTTTGGCTCCAGCATAAATCCTCTAGTTTCAGGGACTAATGAGACGTGTATTGTTATCTGGGTAATATGAAACAAGATAGAACTTTTATGTTCCCAATTCCACAGTGATTCCAGAGTGTGAGCTTAAACGTCTCATTAAAAAGAAAAATTAAAGGGAATGAAATAAGTACTTTTATTTTTACTAACAAGTGCAGATGGCCTTGAGCCATAGAGGCTCAGCAATAATCAAGATGTAAATAGCTGCAAGATTCCCTGAGTGTTACAAGGTGGATTTTGGGATCTTGCACATTTATTGCACTTTTTTTTTTTTTTTCACATGGCAATCCAGAGTACAGAGAGCTGGAGATTAATCACATATTGCATTAACTCAGAGCAGTACATTAATTTTGTTAACAGAGTAACACAACCCACACTTTATGGCAGACTTTCAGCACTGCCAAGGCTTCCAAGACAGGAAAAAACAGCTGATTACTTTAATTCCCACTGTCATTTCCCAGTGGTCCCATTTTGAAATATTTAAGGCAGAATCATTATTGCCTAATTAAGTATCTGTCATTCAATGCTTTTTTTCACAATGGAGACACAGTAGCACTGAAATTAATCATAAACTAAGTTAGATATTCCGGGGTTCATTATTGGCTCAGATCACCTCTTATGGCAAACATGAGAGACTTGGAAATCACAAAGCTCTGTGATATTCCATGGCCTGAAATCAGTTTATGTGTCCAAATCTGCCTCACTCTGTGCCTCAGTGGCAAAGCAAATGGAAGTGGTAGCAAATGAAGAGCACAGAACACCAGTAAAGAGATAAAAGCCCCATAATATTAGCATTCAAAACACATGTGGAAATGGTACTTAGGAACATGGTTCAGTGGGTTTGTTTTTAAAGCACAAATCTGTTCTTTTGCACTGATATTTTGTATTTTTATTTGTTTGGGGTTTTTTTTACCTGTGCGAATGTCGTGGTTAACACCTTCCACTGAAATAACAGCATTTGGGATTCCTTTCCCATGCACATCTTTCACAATGCCTTTGATGCCACGATGGACCTGGGAAGAGAATAAAAAAAACAAGTAAACATTGCACAGCAAAGAACAGTAATATTCCTAGGAACTTACAATGAATCTTTAATTCCATAAATGAATTATATTTCTTTATTCCTACTTTATGGCTCGCAACATTGTGGAGCATCATTATTAACCCTGTAGCAGCCCTTCAGGCATTAACTTGTGAATCAGCTTGTGAATTTTGTTAGGATTCCTGAGGCATCAAATTCAAGATACAAATAAAAAGAACAGATGAAGCAACAGACACAATATTGGGGTCTTTTTCCAGCAGCCCTTTCTAGCAAGCTCAGCACCCAGATCACATTTTCAGAAGCTTCATTACTTTATTCCCTGAAGTCAAACCAGCCTGGCTGAAGTGCTATGTCTATCAAAAATACCAATAACTACATAAGTAGTCATGCAAGAAAAACAGTAGGTGTTGGAATCTTAGTTGCTAAGAATTTTAGACTTTCTTTACTATCAGGCACTGACTCCAAAAAAAACCAGTACATTTAACCTAAAACCATAAAAAAACTTTCAAAATTAAATAATGAAACTAAAATTATAAGTGTGTAGTTTAAATAAAAGTGTATAATATCACATAATAGAAAACTTAAAAGTTTAAAAATATAATAATATATGTTTTAAAATGGAAAATAATCTTTCTTCTTTACCTTCTTCACCTTCTTCATAAATTTAAGTAGTATTATATGATTAAATAAAAAAGTCCACATTGCAAAACACAAAGAATTGTTAAAAATAAAAATAATTTAACTATAATTTCTTAATTAAACAATTTATCCTTAAAAAAACCTTGTAAAAAATACAACTCAATTTTTTAATTGAATAAAAAAATACTATAAAACTCACAACTTGTAAAACTAATATAAATAAATATAAAAATATATTAATATCATAATATATTATATTATATAGTATCAATACCATATCATATAATATCATATAATATCTAATGTATTATATAGTATTATAATATATAATTATTAATAATATCTAATATTAATGTATTACTGATAAATATATAAATATAAAACCTAATATAAATAAAAGTAATAAAACATCTAAATCCAAACCAAAAATGCCAGGTGAATACCTGTTCCATAAAAACAATCAGGGACTCGCGGTTGTTTTCCCACTCCTCTGGCAGCTCGCTCTCATGGGGGTATTTGTCACAGCCAACATAGATGGAGAGCTCAAAGCAGTTTGTGTGCAGGTAGCTGAAGTCATTGATGCCTGCCAATATTGGGGAAAAAGGGAAACTTCATGGCCTTTTTAATCTATTGATCAGATCTGAGTTTTTACGCAAATTAATGTAACTTCTGTAAACACAAGTTGGGTATTCATCCAGCTGGCTTAGCCTGCAGATTTGGAAGGGAAAAAAGTTTTTAGAAATGCCAAATGTTTTGTAACAAAGCAGCAGAGTGCTGAAGGCCAGGTTGGACAGGTGTCCTGGGTTACAAGATGGGGCTGGGGGTGTGTATGCTGCTGCCATCTGTCAGAGCTGGGGCAGTTATCTCTGTTCATGGGGCAGTTTTTTCTTTATCTTTGCCACAACCACTCCTCCCTCCAGGAGATCTCTGCTGTCCATAGCCAGTGAGTGTTCCTGCATGTTCCTGAGTGTTCCTGATCCAATTCCATCATCCCATGGGGAGATGCTCCACCCAGGGGAGAAGCAAAGCATTCCTACCTGGATACAATCTGAGGTTTGGGACAGCACAGCAGCCTTTGCCCAGTGCATTCCCAGAGGAGCAGCTTCTGCTGCCCTGCATTGCCAGAGGGAGCCCAGGCCCATCTGCAGCAGCCCTGGAGCTGCAGAGGAAAACTCCCCCCTTGTGCAGGATCCCTGCTCCAGCAGAGCCACAGCTGGCACTGCAGGAGGGCTGAGCCCCCATGGGATGGGGCTGTGCCACCCCCTGACACACAGGGGACAGGGCATGTTCTGACTCTCTCGGTGGTTTTTTGTATTACTGCATTTTTTATTTTATTTTTATTTTCTTCCCTAATAAAGAACTCTTACTCCTGCTCCCATATCTTTGCCTGAGAGCCCCTTAATTTCAAAATTATAATAATTCAGAGGGAGAGGGTTTACATTTTCCATTTCAAGGGAGGCTCCTGCCTTCTTTAGCAGACATCTGTATTTTCAAACCAAGATAACAGAGCTTGGAGCAATCTGAGATAGTGAAAAGTTGCTCCAAGCAAGGGTGGAACTCGATGGGCTTTAAGGTCTCTTCCGACCCAAACCTTTCTGGGATTCTATTGATGGGGAAGATGGGAGCACAACCAGAAGAAAGGTCTCTACAAGAAAAATGTGTGCTTTTAAAAGAAAGCACTAAGCATTCCTAATCTTGGACATTGCCCACGAAGCAGCTCTTGTCTGTGTTGGGTGGCAGGGAGATGCAGCTGTTCACCCAATTCACAGAATTCCCATTTGATAGAACCTTGAATGCCAGCACCAAGAGCTATGTGCTCACAGGGGCTGTTATGCAAAAGTGATTTATCCGAGCAGTTGGTGAAAGAGTTCCTCAGTCTGTTTTCCTCCCTGAGTTATCTAACAGATAGAAAAGCCAGAAAAATCAAGGCAGTAATAATTATTTTATGTTACATACAGTGTCTGTAGTTTGTAAGAAATGAAAGGGTCTCTTTTCTCCCCAACACTGTGCTGCAGAAGACTGGGATTGCACTGTTGCTCTGCAATAAGGATTTCCATCAGAAATATCTCCTAATCAAGCCTCAGGAACCCCAGTGCCTCCAGTCTCTGAGGAGCTGCAGTTTAATTCTGCATTAAAGAGACCACTGTAACCTTTACAAAGGGCTGGAGCACTAGGAAGGGCTGTCTTTAGATACAGAGCTCAAACATTTCCATTCTCCAGGTTTCTCACCATTATTTTTCCTCCTTATTAGTTCTCCACTCTCACACAGATAACGAAATACAGAACATGAACACTAGAGGAAGAAATTCTGTGAGGTTCATTTCTTGTTCCCCCTGCACTTCTAATAAAAAAAAATATTTTAAAATATGTTTGTTAATGATCATTAATTGTTATGTTTTAAATAGCAAAGATTAGCAGGAGTTGCATTCACCGAGTGCTTCTGACCAAGAAGAGTTAAACCAAAATCCCTGTTCCTGTCCAATTAGCAGTAGTCAAGTATTTAATGAGCCCTCAGTGCCTTCTGGAAGCAGAGCAGGAGGATTATATAATACAGATGTTAAACTTTTCACTTTTGTTGATGGGGAAAACCTAAACATCAGCCAGTGGCATATGCTACTCTACATAAATGTGCTTCCCCTCCACTTGAGAAACAGCCACAATTATTTTCCCCTCACATACTGTATAACATCCTGATTAATCTGCTGTGAAATGTTTTGTCATACACACTAATTGCTCAGTTTTAATACATGTATTTAAGAAAATGGCTTTGTGTTGCCAAGAGCGACTCTTTCCTAGTGCTTCAACATGCAAATCCAGCCTCAAAAATACAGGAAATAAAATTAAATCAATTCCTTTTTTGCCTCTCTGCAGTTCATCCAGTGCAGAAACTTTATATGTAAAATTGCTGGACAACTTGCATTCACTGCAGTCAAAATAATGTGCAGGAAATATCATGGCTGGGTTGTAAAGGCTTGAGGAGGTGCTGGATATCTGTAGTGCACATGCTTCTCTAGGGACTGAAATGAAATCTAATATTTCTAAATGAAAGAAATATGAAAGATTTATTTGATATTTAAATAAATATTAAATATTTTCTAAATGAAATTTATCTAATGCCATCTAAATTTTCCCATGGCATGAGCAGTGAGAAGTTTCTGTGCAGGACCACTGCAAGGAAGCAGGTGGATGAGGAGAGGGGCAGTTTCAAGGTGTGGTACAATGAGGAGATGTCACTCACACAAAAGGATGGGTGGGACAGCTTCTGCAAGCACTTTTTTGGAGGTCTTACCATAATGTAACAGAGCAGGACATCAATCATTATTAAAACATCATCAAGAAATAAAGCAAGTCAGATGAAACAAATCCAAAATGTAATTGGTCCTAAGAAATCAGGGTACAATTCAGTATCTATATTGTCCATCTTTACTTAATGGAACTCAGTAGGACAGCTGTCAGTGACAAGGCCAATGCCATCTTTTCTGGATTGATTCATAATGATGTTTCTTGTAGCACTTAGGAAAATTAAGTTCATAAATTAGATAATTAAGTGGTCATGTTCGGTCTTAGAGAATGCTTTAGAATCTGCAGAAATGCATGGGAATGTAGTCAGACCTAAGAGTTCAAGGTTTCCCCCAAACTCACCCAACACTTTTTAACCTCCTGAAAAAGTATTTGAAAAGCTAATTCTCGACTGTAGCCTTTAAAGGCTGGCCAGCACTAACTATACATGGGCCAACATAAAAGCCATGTCCAAAATCCCAAAATGTTTATGCAGTGGACCTGCAAGTTCCAAACATGAGCCAGGTTCAGCTAAACCTGGCTTTCAGAGACACTGGCCTGCATCTGTTTGCCATTAGTGCTGCTCTTGTTGTCAGCCCACTGGTGGCAGATGCCTGTCTCATTTCCTAATTTCAGGGAATATGTTGTTTGACTGATGCACTTAGAAAAACACGAGGATTTTGAGCAAAGGCAAACGTGCCTAATATTAATAATGGGTTTCTAATTGGGCTTTCCTGGAAATCAAGGTTTTAGCCACACCACAGGCCGTGGCTTCCCCTCTGTGCTCCTTAACAGAGTGACAGGCTTGGGTGTGTGGAGATTGATCCAGGCTGTGATTTATCCTGGCAGCAGGAATGCCTGTGGAGCCCATGCAAAATTTAAGTGTAAGGACATCCAGGTGTTTTAGAAATAGGAGAGTAGCAGGCAAACAGTAGCTTTTTATGGCATTTCATTGCAACTGCCAGTGAATGTGAGTGAGGGCTGATCTGAGGCTGAGTTCAGCCAGCAGGAGGCTGTAATCAGGATTTCCTTATCTGGGATCTCTCCCTGAAGCCCTTGCTTCAGCTCTGACACTGGCTGTGGTGCTTGGCAGCAGTTTTCTTCTTGTCACCTTGTGTGGGGGTTTGGACTGGGCTGGTTTCTTCCTGAAAAACTGTCTTGAGTGCACAGAGTTCCTAAAGCTAATGCTCTGCACGTGCATTTTTGGAAAACTGGGTATTAGTGGCAGCAATGACACCTGGAAATATTCCTCCTAGAACACACAATTTTACCACCGCTGCTGCTGCAACGCACACCAGGCAGCGCTGGCTTTACCCTAATTAGCAAGGGAACACTAATTGAAGCGTCTACCACTCACTTCCAGCCACAGTGTGCCACGAGGCTCCGTTGACAGTGCCATCCTCCTTCTGGAAGTCCTCGGTGTGGCAGGCTCTCCTCCTGGCATCTGTCATCAGGCGGTGCGTGGAGGCGTAGGAGTAGGCCAGCCAGCGGAACACGTGGTCGTCAGGGGTGGGAGTATAGTCCTGGGTTTTCCACATGGACCTCACCATGTCATAGGGATAGGCCACCACCAGCTCTCCCCCCTGCAAGTTGCCACCCAGCACAAAAGGGATTTTTTCCATCCAGGCGATGATCGCCCGCGTCTCCACCGCCACCTGGGAGAAGAAGCGACAGCAGGTCTGGTTCAGCGTGGAAATCTCATCGTGCTGCTTCAAAGGGAGAGCAGGACCAGGAGTTCCTGAGAGTGAGGGGCCAGCAGAAGGGATGTGGGCAAGGAGAAGGCCTTATTTAAATTATGGTACTTGTCAGCCATTTTGGGAGGTCACAGACATCCCTGAGGAGCTAACAGAACCTTCACATCAGTAATTTACGAAACAGGAACATCTATGCTGAGTGAGGCCCAGAGCAGGAACTGACAGAGGTGTCAGATGGTGCCATGGCTCCCCCTCTTTGTTTCCAAAATAAGGGATTTTAAACATGGAAGTAAAGCCCATAAATTAAAACACAGGAAGTTTCAACTCAAACTTTTCAACTCAAACCTCCCAACAGGTGCACAGGGAGGTCATGGAGTCTCCCTCTCTGGAAACATTCCAAACTCACCTGGATGTGTTCCTGTGTCACCTGCTCCAGGTGACCCTGCCTTGGACTGATCTCCAGAGGCCCCTTTAAACTGTTACTATTCCATGATTGTGTGATTCTAAAGTACTAAAAACTGCCACAGTGAAGCTGCTTTTAATAGCTGCCATTATATTTAAAAGGTCAGGCCAAAATAAGTTAAATTTCTGACATTACAATCCAATAAACGACATTAACATAAACCACAGCAAGGTTTTGTGTGTACCTGATCTGTTGCTGTGTTTTTCAAGGTAAGAACATATTTCAAGTAAGAGCAAGTAAGAAAATCCCTGGACAAATCTGCGAGTGAGTTTTCAAAGAGTTCATCTATGCCACAAAACCTGGGAGAAGCCTGATCCACATGGCTGAGCTCATGCTGTGCTTCTTCTTGTCTACCTTGCTGCCTAAAAGTTGGGTTTGGAGTCCTCCAGGTTTTTCAATAGCTGATGGAAAAGAAAATCCTCTAGGAAACAGTTTCTTCCTCAAGACCTGCCTCTGAATCCTGGGGAAAAACAGTGCTTTTGTGGTGCATTTTTATTTCCACTGACACAAAGGGAATTATTGACTTAAATCAGGTGTGGAACTTCACTCCCAGGTTATTCATTTCTTGGGAAATGTTAATCTCACTCTCTCAGGACATCCCAGCCTTTGTGTCCCCTCTCCTGGCCTTACTCACAGTGGCATTTTCAGACAGGTACCAGTCAGGGATCGGGATGTGATGGTTTGGAACTTTTCTTTTACTCTTCTTCTGATCCTCTGACTCCCAGAGCAGAGAGTTTAGGTCAGGGAAGTTATTGTTGATGTCAATGCCGTCCTGAGTCCATCGTCCTAGAGACCAGCCCCCCAATTCTGAACCCTTGGATTAAAAAAAAAATAAAAATAAAGAAAAAAATAATTAATGTTCATTCAGATTACAGAAACCTGTGAGCCCCTGCAGAATGTCTGGGAATGTCCCAGACATAATTCTATACAGAGAAATGGAAGATTAATTATTTAATTAACTGAATTAAATCATTGGCACTTTTTAAAAAATTTTGTATGAAATCTTGAATGAGGTGAAGGAAAACCCATGAAAATTTACTTGAGGTTAGCCAAAATATATCTGTCAATGGAGACAGCAGACATTCCCTCCCATGACTATGATTTTGACTTTCCTATTCCAGTCTTCTGCAGACTGCTCTGGAAGATTTTCCAGTGCATTTGACCAGCCCCTACAATTTTTCCTGGTGTCTGTCTTCATCCAGACTGAATTATTACGATGCCCAACACACCATGCTCTCCTTAAAGGCACACTATAAAATTTCAGCGGTGGAGGAATGCAAATTTTCACGTGCTGAGCTTGGTTTCTCGTGAGAAACAGATTGCACAGATTTTCCATTTTCCATAATGGTGTTGCCATGGCTCTGTACACCTCAGGATGGTTTGCTCTGGCAGCCTTTGTGGCCCTCCTTTCATGTACATTCTCCTGTTAGCCAACATCACATCAAACACTGTTTCTTTCAGCTTTTTCCCAAGATGGTTTGTGTTTACTTTGATGTGCCCATCTTTTCATTTTTAAATTTCGATCGCTCGCAAAACGTGATCTTTGAAGAGAATAAAAACAAGAGGAGCATTTTTGAGCCATCTACCGGAAAGAAAAGAATTCCTTGATGTGCTCATCATCCTAATTACCGCTTTATAGGCCTTGTCATATCCATCAGGGTTCACTGAGGGCAGCAGGTGGATTCTGGTGTCCTGGATGAGGTGTACAATGCGTGGGTTCCCAGCCAGGTATTCCTGGCACATGAACTGCATGAGCAGAAGGATCAGCTCTCGTCCAAGCACTTCATTCCCATGAGCTCCTGCAATGTAGTGGAATTCTGGCTCCCCTGTGGAAAAAAACCCACGGAGCAGAGCTGTGGTCAGAGCAGCAAATCAAATCTCTATCAAACAGCTTCAATGTCAATCAGCAACATTTCACTTAAGGAGTGTTGGAGAAACGTCTCAGCTGCACAGACGAGAGGTGAAAATGTCACTTTGGAGAAATAAATTGCTTTCTGTTGCTATTTTAGAACTGGCTTATGTATTAGTGATATCTAAAGCCACTCTGTAAAACCTCTAAAAACCCATATTTGATTAAACATATCTTTAATTACACTCACAACTTCAGCATGTTAGAGGTAGATTTTAACAGTTTCGAAGGTCTAAAAGTCACATGAAAAATACTCTGCTAGAAGAGAATTCTCCTAATAACCAATCTAAACATGTTATCAGTGTATTCATGGATACAGCAAAGCACAAAATTCCTTTATTCCAAAAGCTGTTCCAGGCACTATCACAGTGAGAAGGACCAAAGACTGAATGAGTTTCATCAATGCTGAAGAATTATGTCATGGTAGGAAACTGAACCCCAGACCTCATGAGTGAAAAATTATTTGGAGATTTGACCTATCCCTGCAATGCATTAAGGTAATTTTCTATCCATAGCTACATCAATGCCATAACTAAAATCCATCCCCCAGTATTAAAGTTCACTTTTATTTTATTACCATGAAGAATGATCATTAAAGAATTTGATCCCACATTCAAAATGTCCTCTATTTCTGCTCACCCTCCCCTTCCCAAATTAGAAATACAGCACTGAGGTTCCTCCCACATACATTTGAAATCTTTGCTGCCATGAATATAATTCCATCAGTGATAATTAGTGAAGATATGGAGGAAGAGAAGGGGGAAAAAAGCCAAATCCCAACACCCCTTCAACAGATTTAGTTAAGATTAAAATCCTAACCAACTTCGTGTTCTCCTGGGTTGTCAGAAATCTCCACTGCATACAGCTTCAGTCCTTGGTGGCTTTTTCCAATATTGTAAATTCTTGTGATATTTGGGCACATTTTATTCACAGTTTTCATCAGCTGCCAACAAAAAAAAAGAGAAAAAATAAAGAACATATTTAGACAATGCAGCATCAAAATAGATCCACGATGAATTGGTGCATTCTAAATTGGATGTGGCACAAACTCTTCATTTGCTTCTCTGATTACCTCTTAGTTGTAAAAACTTTATGTTTAGTTCATGAATTTATAGCTCTGCTATCTCATTTTTAAAACACTATGCCATGGAGAGTAATTAAAATAATGGAGAGTGATTAAAGCAACCACACTCAGTGAGGTATTATAGACAAGGGACTTGAGGTGACCCAGGGTGTCAGTGCACAGAAATGCATTTATTTTGCAGGTTACCACACTTCAACAGAAATATGAATTTTTCCACTCTGCCAGCAAGCAGAGATATTGCATTAAAAGCAGTTCTATTTTAGCTAAAGGCTAAAACCCTGCTGTATAAATAATGTTACTGACTCAGACTTGTGTTTACTAATTTCTCTCCTCACACCTTCTTCAAATTGAAGCAAACTGAGCTGGCTGATGGTTCCCTGCATCCATGCAGCTCCATCCATGAGAAATGGGGAATGTGAGCCTGTTGTCTCAGAGCTCCTCTGAAACCCCTGACTCTGAAACTTCCACGGGCAGGAGCTTTCCTGACGTGCCTGGCACTCCAGTGCTCACAGGGAACCAGGAACATCAATTTAGAAAAGTGGTTGCAAGTATGGAAATGCTCATTAATAGTGAGAAAAATGCCCAGAACCAAGTTCAAAGTCTGTTACATTCAGTGGAAATATTTGTGTTGGCCTCAGCAAACTCCCCATCATCTCTTTAATTGCAAACATGTGATTATTTTTTGAGTCAAAGAACTTTTCCTGCATTAGACCTTTGGAGTAGCATTTACTGTGACTCTTTTGGTAACATGTAATGCAGTGGAGTTAATGGAAATACAATTCTGAAAATCAACATATTTCATATTTGATCTCCTCATTCCCATTTCCTACAAATGGCACAAAACTGTTAAAATATTTCACCTATGATCTGCGTTTGTTGTCTGAAAGACAAGGTTGTACTCAAATATCCACATCAAACAAGGAACAGCTTCCTGCACCACATGAAGATGTACAAATACATACACAGAAATGAACACATAAGAAATAGTTTGTGCTGTGAAACAATCCTCCAGTGAAACACAGTGAGGGCTCCCATTGACTGGAAGAAGAATAAATGCTCTTTTACAAGGAGAAAACTGGAGCTGCAAATTTCATCTTCCTAACCAGAGAGTTCTATTAAAATCACCTGACACTGAGGAAATCCCTCCCTCTCACAAATACTTGACTTATTGCAATCAAATGCTTCCAAACCATGGCCCAGAGAACACCATCTCCTCCTCCTTCAGTGTTCATAATAAATCAAAAAAGAGCATTTTGCTGAGATGGTTGGTGGTGAACTAGCCATGAAAAGTGACAATAATGCATATTTTGGGGGTTGGGGATGTTTTTGATTGTTGTTGGCTGTTTGTTTTTAATAAGAAGTTGACTCTGGCAGTTATTATTCCATTTTGCACTGAAGTTTTGAGAATCGTTTTGGGTATATAAGATTTGCTGCAATGCAACCATAATATTCTGCCCATGAGCAATTAAAATCCAATGAGCTCTAAAAAAATTAACTATTTTGACACAGAAGAAAGCAGAAATTGGGAGAGCACACAGTTCACAATTCTCAACCATGGTCACAGATTTTCCTTTTGTATGAAGAGTGCAAAAACATTCTGGTTTAAAGCTGTGGTTTTTTTTTTCCCCAAGATATTTCTAACCTGACCAACCTGTCTTTCTGCAATGACAAGATAAATACATTTTATTTTATTGTTCTTGACAGTAATTATGCCAATTGAGTTCCTACTTGTCTAATCTTTGTGCTAAGAAATATAGGCCATGAAATCTCTACCAAAATAAACGTGTGACTCAGTACACAATTGCTCAATAAAACCCAGTGGTGATTCATGCAGTATAAATACACTGAAATCCAGCACACAGCAAGTGATTCACACACATCAAGTCCAAACATATTATCTTTATATTTGAAGAGAAAGTGGGCAGAAATATTTCTTCAGGACAACCCACACTTGTGTCTGTGGTGATATGAAGCAAGATTAAAAACAATAACAAAGCCCAGAACTTGTTTGAAGTTAAAGGAACAAGATCAACAACGCTGGTAGGTTTAAAATTATACTAGCAGATGGGTTTTTTTTCTGGTGTTTCTGGTGAATTTTTGCTGATTTTCACAACTGTGAATATGGAATTGGACCCCAGAGTTTATTCTGATTATTCAAACCCACAGAAATAGATGAGACAAATGATGGCTAAATCAGAGTCAAATCTAGAAGGAGAAACCACTGTGTCATTCACCACTGAAATAAATATGGAAGAGAAGAGTGGCCCATTACATGAAAATACTTCCTCTGTCACATAGTGTCACCTCCTTCAGGTTCATTTATGTACAAATTCAGACTTTGGGACTTTATTGGACTGCTTCTTTTAATAGATTAAAACAGAGAAAATATTTTAAAAACACACTGCAGACAGAGTTTAATAATATTTTAAAATGAAAATAATATTTCAATTTTTGTGGAATTCAGATTCCACAGGGCTGAAAAGCCTGCACCCATCCACCCTCCATCACACACCATCCTTCTTTGCCTACCTGCCTCATCTCCTTGTAGTTGTGATGCTTAAAGTCCAGATTATCAGTGGTTGTCATTTCATTTCTTCTGTGGTAATAATTGTTTGGGTCTGAGAAAAAAAAAAAAAAAAGGAGTTTTCTCATGCTTAGGAATTTCAAATATAGAGGTGCTTTGGCACAATGCATGTAAGGAACATGGAAATCTGAATTCCACTGGCCTGTGTGTATCTAAAACAGGTTTTCAAAAGCAAAACTCAGAGAAACAACTAATTTGAAATATTTCTAATCACTGCACAAATCAATTCATACAGATCCAAACAAAAGCAAAGAGGCACCAGCTTTCCAGACAGCTCCTCTGCACAAAAACCTGAATTTCAACAGAAAAGCAGAAGGGCAGCCTTAGGCTGCAGAGGAGGGAAAAAGTCATTGGGAAATGATGAGTCAGATGCAAGATAAAAGAGTGGAAGAAAAATCAAATTAGAGGAAAAAGCCACAGTAAATGCTTTGTGTCCACTTGATTAATTTACTATTGCAAGGAATTTTAGTTTTCCTGATGAGTATTTTCCAAGCCCATGCACTGATTGCAAAACATGGAAAGGAGTAATTTGGCATATTAAGCATTCCTAATTATCTTCCAAAGGAGTTCCTGTGGAAGTCAGAGGTGTTTGTTACTAAAAATTTACATATTCATTTGTTTATGGATATTATTTATAGTTTGTTAATTCTGAAGTATCAAAGGAGGATATGTGGTTAGAAAAGAATCTTTTGTCTCCTTGACATTCCAGGCCTTTCACCTAGGAAAAAAAACCTCAAAACCAAACAGGCCAAGGCTGTTATGGCTCAGCTTTGAAGGTCCTGATGAATGTGCTCCTGGCCTAATCTATTATGATTTATTTTCAGAGACAAACAAGTCTATTTGGAAAACATCAGACACATTCCTTAACTTGCCACATCTGGGATGTCTGGAATTCTGAGCAATCGTTTGTCAAGCCAGTGGCTGTCAGGCTTCTATGAAAAATTGTTTCCCTTCACACAAAATCATCTTCATTGGTTGAAGATTATTGGCGGAAAAGCGAAATATGAAAAAGCCTAAATGTCATCCTTATTGCAACACAAAAAGATATTGTCTCTAGGGAAAAAAAATGGTTTTAAACCATTATATTCCCATAATATCACCTGTCAGCTGTGACTTTTTTTTTGTGGGGAAAAAAAAGAACAATTCTGAGTAGGAAAAATATGTAGTCACCATCCCACAGCAACAAATCCTTACTGAAATGATGGAAAACTCACAACAGTGCAAAATACTTTATAACATTTTAAAGTTTCATATTTCTGGCATCAAAACCACTAAATATTCCCGTAAAATTCTAAAGTTTTGGAGGTTTTTTGCACTATTTAAGTTATTTATGAAATGAAACATGCAAGTCCCATTAAACTTCACAGTAACATGACCCATCCTTGTCTCCACTTCCATTTCCTAATCTACAGCAGAGATGCTGGAAGGCCAGTTGAAGGCTGCTCTACAAATATGACAGAAAAAATGTGAAAAAAAATTTTGTCTCATCAAAACTCATGTTAATTTGTAGAAATTACTCATTGATACACTGACAAGAAATGGAAATCATAAACAAAACCCCCACTTCTTCTCAAAAGAGACAATGTGTTCAGTGCCCCACAGAATATCTCCATCATTGAGAAAATACTTCCACGTTGTAAAAATATAAAAATAAATGTCATAAAACTGCCAGGATGTTGAAAGTTTTTTGTATCCCCATGAGCCAAAATATACAGCAACCGATTTTTTCCTTGATACTTTAATCCCATGCCTTTCAAAGCCTGGCTCTTTTTCCATACATCAAACACTAATATCATGGGAATGACTGTGAATGCTGTAGAGTTGGTGGAAACTTAAAAAGACTGCAGTGAAAATGATGGTATCTCTGGCCCTTCCTCAACAACAGAGCTCAATTTGACAGTTCCCTGGGGAATTAACACTCATACTTTGCCAGGCTCTGCTGCAGCCTGCTTGGATAGCTGGATTTCTGCTGCAGCAGGAATACAGATGAGAACATTAAAAGCTAAAATGTAGAAAGGCAAACAAGGCTTGCACACAGCTGGATGGGTTCACTTTGGCATTTTTTTTTTAAATAAAACTGAGAATAAGAGACTGAACAACTCAAACTACAGAAGAGTTCTACGAGAAATATACTGATTTATTAGCAGAAATTCTGGACAAAGTCTCTCTTTCTTCCATGGAGAAAAGATCTTGCAAAACTGTGCCACTCACATTTATACAGAGGGATATATTAGCTTTTTTCTACCACTAATCTGTCTGTACATAACCAGTAGAGGTAATGAAGTTTGCTGGGAGAGGCATCTTGTGCCCTTCATCCTTCTATTTTTGTAAAGATGGACAAGTGACTAAAGCTGTTAAATCACAGATTCATAGGAGCAAAGAATGGTTTGGGTTGGAAGGGACCTTAAATCCCACCCAGTGCCACCCCTGCCATGGCAGGGACACTTCCCACTGTCCCAGGTGCTCCCAGCCCCAGTGTCCAGCCTGGCCTTGGGCACTGCCAGGGATCCAGGGGCAGCCCCAGCTGCTCTGGGCACCTGTGCCAGGGCCTGCCCACCCTCACAGGGAACAATTCCTTCCTAAAATCCCACCTAACCCTGCCCTCTGCCATCAGGAAGCCATTCCCTTGTCCTGTCACTCCAGGCCCTTGTCCAAAGCCTCTCTCTCCATATTTTTTGTAGCTTTCCTCAGGCACTGGAAGGCCGCAGTTACATCACCCCAAGGCCTTCCCCTCTCCAGGATGAACAATCCCATTTCCCTCAGTTTTTCCTCACAGCAGAGCTGCTCCATCCCTCTCCTCTGATCGTCCCTGAGGTCTCCAACAGCTCCATGTCCTTCTGATGCCTCAGGTTTGGCTTTTCTATTTTTCCCATTCTGTGCTGCTTTAGTGGGTGGGTCTGGGCTTCACATCAGGGGATGGTGAGCTCTGTGCACAGAGCAGGGAGACAAAACAATTCCTGCTCCAGCTGGGCACCAAGGACAAATGATCCAAATCTCAGCCCAGGAGCACAAACCCCCGTGGGCTGCAGAGAGAAAAACAAGCAGGGTGGGACTGCAGGGGCTAAAGCTGGAATGGGACAATGAACTGCAAGATGCAAATGGAGCAGAACTGATCCCAGGGACAGAGCCCGTGCCCGGCCGTGCATTTTGGGGCCATTTTGGTTCATCTTGGGTGCAGCCCTGGCTGGGCTCTGGTTCTGCCCAAGGTGGATCCATGGAGGAGATCCTTTGAATAAATCCCTGCTTTATTCTGTAACTCTGTCCAGCCTATGTCCTAGGGCAGCCTGCACAAGGCCTCCCTTCCTGTGCTGGGATCCACAAAACTCCAAGTGAGTTAATGCCCATAACTTTGCAGTATGAGGGCTCTGAAAACTGCCCAGAAAAAGTACCAGAAAGGACCAATTGCTTGGCAGTTGACGAAAAAAAAAGGATATTTTCACTTATTACAGCTCTACAGTGCCTCAGCCAGTGAGGCCCTGATGCTTCCAGGAGGTTTCAGCTTCTCAGAAGTGCTGCTCCAAATGCAGGGCATAATGAAGGCAATCCAAGGGATTCAGAGAAGTTTTTAATAAAAAGAATATTATGGTTTAAATCCCTTAGACTGCCTTAAAAATGCCAATGTGCTGTTTCACAAATGACTGCGTTTTTTTTTTAATTTCCATGTAATTTAAGTGAATTTGACTTGTCTTCACTAAATTGAACATCTCACAGACAGCACATGTGTAATCTTGAAATAAATCCGCTGGCAGCCACATCAGGTGATTCTAAGTTTTTTCCACATGATCTATTTCATGGCAGCCTCATGAGCATTGCTTATGAGCATTAACATCACACATGAAATCAGCAATGAAATAATGTTTTTCAACTATAAACTGATTCTTTTCTCCTTTTACTCTCAGAAGTAGGTGCTGGATTTAGAGCTGCTGTTGACATGGACATTTATAATGAAAGGTACTTGTAAAAAGTCACATTTTTATCAAAAAATGAACAGAACTTTAGACTTGACCAGGTAGCCTGGCACTGAGAGAGAAGCAGTAAAAATAAGACTGAAGCCACTGCAAAACACAGTACTCCATTACAGAGCTGTTAAAATTCTTTTTTTATCTTGGGTTCAAAGTAATGGCATGATCATGGTACCAGTGATAGTTTTCTATATAAGAACTATTAAAAATTAAATTCCATCACAAATTTATTCCGTTAAAATAATTGTCTCTTGCCTTGAATACTCTACAGTATAAATAAATGCATGAAGAACTCCACTAATTTTCTCTTTCCAATCTCTGGGTGCTTTTGATCACATATAATTTCATTTTGACCTTCCTTAGGTTTGAGGAAGAGAAGGCAAGGAAAGCACATCCATCCCTCTGAGGCAATTGCAAAAGACTGTGTGTGTCAGCCTCCCTCTATGTAAATACCAGCATTTTTGGAAAGTGGAGAGGGAATTAAATGTTTTTGGGTTTTGTCCTCTTTTTGCCCTCTTTTTTGAGACATGGCAGCACTGATTGTTGTTACAGGTAAGATTTTCTGGCATCTTTCCTCCACAGAGAAATGTCTTTCTCTTGGTGAAACAGCAAACCCTTTCTGTTGCCCAAAGATAGCACTGACATAGTTGGACAACACAGCTTTTTCTTTCTTTCTTTCTTTCTTGTAGAGCTACTGTAACAATCTAGAAAATTGTTGTTGTTTGTCCAAACTAGCCTAAGATACAACAAAAATGTATGCTATGGATAAGATATAAGCATTTTACTGATAAAAATTACAATTATCTTACATAATACTGCTTAGATAAGTATGTTACAACTGCCCAAATAGTGTTTTATCATGATTTATTCAATTTTTAGTGCATCTAGCACATGCAGAAGGTTTAATGGACAGAGCCCTACCCACAGGAATGGGTTGTAGCTGTCTTTAACCATTTCCATCTCATTCAGACAGTGCTAACCTAGAATATCAATCTTATTCAGGTTTTTTCTTTTCCTTTTATCCTTTCTCCTTATTCCTTCATTATCCTCCCTTGTGAGCCTGCTTGATGGAAAGCTGATACAGAGCACAGACTGAATGCAAATAGTTTAATATATTCAGGGATTAATGAAGGCATAAACCCTAAAATCACAAGTCTAGAAGACACGAAAAGAAATTCAGAGTTATGAAAATGGGTTTCTTTCCTTCCACCCTCCTTTCGTTGTTGGGGTATTTCCCTATGCCCCGGGCTTTGGAAAGGCTAGAGGTGTGTGAATTAACAGAGCTCCCCCTCCTGATTTTGGTGAATTTAGGAAAATTGGTTATTTTGATGGAAAAAAAATCTGTCAGGGAAGAAGAGCCCTTGATTTCCAGTCCCACAGTCAATACAGAGTGTTAGAGCAGCACTGTCAGGGTCGCTGCTCCCACGGCCAAACCGCCCAGATATTTAACTTGGAATGAGCAAAATAACACCAATAAAGGGTGAGGAATCCACTTAGAGGGAGCTGCAAAAACATGTCCCATCCTAGAGGAAGAAAACGTGCTTGGAAAGACCTCTGGAACCTGGGGAACAGCTTTGTCCCGGGCACCTCGCGTGCGACGCGCAAAATGAGCAAGGAGAAAGAAATGCCAGCTCTTTCTGAGCTAAAAAGATGGGTCAGCACTTATCAAAACCTATTAGTTCTTCAGTCCAATTACATTTTGAATGAACACACCCCATTCCCATTGTGTTTCTCAATGAATGATTCTGGTATTTTCTTTCAGGAATATACTGAATCAGCCACTGCAGGCAATTAACTCAATAAATGACTACCAGGGGGATGCTCTGATGCTGTTTCCATGTGAATCCAAGATCTGTGAAAAGCTGGAAGAGCACTCAGCAGGACAGTGCTGAAAGTGGGGATGTGTTCCCAGCTTCACCCACTGACACAGACCCGTGAAGCTCAAGGGTAACAAATGCCAGCGCTGCCAAGCAGAATCTGGCCCTGGATGGGTGTAAAGCCAGTAAGAATCCAGGGTAAAAAACTGCTGCACTCAATAAAAATCACCTTTCCAAATACTGACATTTTTGCTTTTTTTCCTGTTTAGATGCAGTTTTAGGGGAGAGAAAGGGATCATGAGAATTTACATACAAATTGCCCTAGGAAACAGTCAGATCACCCATGCAATCTTGTTTTTTTAATAAAGGCACTTACAGATACTATGGCTTGCATATCAAAAGTTATCCTGATACTCTCTGTGGGCTTGGGCAGACATTTCTATTTCTTTCTACATAACCCTACTCACTCAGGATAAATATTATACCAAAAGCAAAGCTGTCCAAAGGAAATGCAGCTTTTGAGTCCTGCCACATGCAGCCATGCCAACATGAACTATCAAAGGCTCTCACCTGGCAAGGGGCAGCCCAGGATTTCCAGCCTCATGCAGATGCTGCCCTCCTGGAACCAGGAGCGGGGGTTGATGCGGATGTAACGCGCCACCAGCGGCACCGGCAGCATGTTCAGCACTGGGATCTCCTTCTCACTGTTCCCTTCAAAAATCTGGCCAGGCCAGACAGGGGGAAAGAAAGGGCAACATCAGTGCTTCAAACTGGCTTGCAGTGGTTTTGGTAAGGGAAATGTAAATGTTAAATGCAAAATCACCTTTCAGGTCCAGGCTGATGGTGGCTCGGGCCAGAACTGATCTTTGAGGATGGCAATGCCCCCCATTCCCCCATGGCAATTCTGATTCTGTACCTTGGGATTTGCTCTTAAAATCAATGGGAGATGCTGCCACTGACTAATCTGTGGCCAGCCCCTGCTTTCCCACCTCTGCTCTTCCCCATAAAACATGTTTTGTTCTACTCACCACGTCTCCAGATTCGTTCCTGACAGCAGTCCACGCGTGGCTGTCATTGCTCACTAACACTCTGTAAGAGGTCACCCAGTTACTCCTTGAAAAAGAGAAAAAATAAGTTACTTTTCAGAACTTAGAATGACTGCACATTATTTAATATAATCAAGCTTATAAGGCTGCTAGCAGTGGAAATCCCATTTGGAAAAGTCATGCCAATCTGGATTCAACACACTGTTCAAAAAGCCTGGCACAAAGAAGCAAAATCCTGGTGAGATAATATTCTGGGATTCCAGGGGGTGAGAGACTTGCTGCTCTCCTCTCCTTTTATATGCAGAGTTTGGGATAAATGGCTTATCTAGAACAGATTTATGCAGTGTTCAAAGATCATCTTTTCAGCTGCAGAACATTTATTAGTTCTGCTGTTATTATCAGAGAGGATGGGAAAAAAGTAATAAATCCTCAAGGATGAAACATCTGTGAATTTCAACCAGCAAAATTTCCATTTCTTTCAATAGAAGAATAACTGGTGCCTGCAGTTATTCTTGTATTTATTAGCAAGAGACAGGGACAGAGAGACAATTGATCACAGGACTACTGCACTCCTACAATATCCTGATCAATCCCCAATAGGCTGATTTTTCTAATGTCATCTGATTTACAGCAAAATCCCCTTTCATCTAAAGAAGTCAAATACTTCAGTTATGCCTCATCTGGATCCAGCTAAAGAAGAGTATGAGGAAATGTAAAATGCTGCTTCCTATATTTTGGATTAAAGCTGTGGAGTTTCACACTGCTCAGGCATTACCTGTGGACAGGTAATAATGTGTGTACAGGGCTGGAGAAGGCTGGAGAAGGCAATGCCCAACTCTCCTCCCCCATCTGTTACTCAGAAAGGGCAGCAGGGATTTGTTTTTTCCCCTAACACCTGGTTTCAGTAGGCAGGGACTTGGAGGAGAGTTGTGGCTTGGAGGAACATTTGTACCATGAAGTCAGTCCAGGATGATTAAATTCCATATTTATGTGCCACCAGCAGGGCTCTGGAGCTGCTCTTCTTCAGCACAGGCTCTTATCTAAGCTACAGTGCCATGCCTGGGAGTGAAACCAGGGCTAGGAAAGCTCTTGGCACTGGAGGGAAGAAAAGGGGACTTTGGGGTAGGTGTTGAAGAAGCAGCAGAGCATAAAAATTGAAGATCAGGAGGGCCTGGAAGGACAGACACACCTGCTCCTGTACAAATACAACTTTGATTTGTTTTGTTTTTTTCTTTTAAAATCAACTAATAATAGCAAACTACCTATGAACACACACTCCCACATTGAACCCACTGTGCCTGTGTTTAGGGACAAACCAGCCTTTATGTGCTCACTAAAGAGTCAGGCTTCTAATGAAGACCAAAATGGGACAAGGATGGAACAAAGGTAAAACCATCAGCCCCAGCTCACCAAGCCTTGTACAAAACAGACAACTGAGGGTTTTAACACATCTGAAAACAAAGATGAGGTAAATATTTAGTAGGATTTGGAAAATCACTTCTGGACATTCTATACTAATGCCCCCAAAAGTAAAAAAGAAAAGAGATTTTGAAAAAAACCCAACAAAATAACAACTGAACAAACCCAGCTCTGTTTTAGACACTAAACCAGTCCTTTACAACTCTCTCACCAGCCTCCTTCAGTGAATAGACTTTGCCATTCATGTTAGATTAAATGGAAAAATCTTGACAATTGCCAAGCAGGCAACTTTTTGTTATGGCAATGAAAAGAAGGGTACATCTATCACTTGTAATGCACACAACTTTAGTATTTGGTAAACAACTGTAACAAGTTAGCTGCACTCTGAAAATCCTAATTGTCTGTCTGTCAGTGGAAGGGCTCCTGGGGTAGGAGATTTACTGCAGAGCTGAGAAGTGCCATGCTGGCGTCTCTAAAATTTGGCTGTAAAATGATAAATGACACACAACAAAATAAACAGTGACTTCAGCATGCTGGAAAAGTTTCTCCTGACTCTTGCAAAGAACTTTCTTCCCTCAGCTTCTCTGTGTTCTCAAGTTGAAGAAAGGCTGATTTACTTCCATCAAATAAAGGAGCTGACAAGAGGGAAGGAGAGGGAGTTGTGACAAGGACATGGAGTGCCAGGACAGGGGTGATGAAAGAAAGCAGGTTGGGATCAGATATTGGGAAGAAATCTTGGTTGTGAAGGTGGTGAGGCCCTGGCACAGGTGCCCAGAGCAGCTGTGGCTGCCCCTGGATCCCTGGCAGTGTCCAAAGTCAGGTTGGACAGGGCTGGGAGCAGCCTGGGACAGTGGGAGGTGTCCCTGCCCATGGCAGGGGTGGAATGGGATGAGCTTTAAATTCCCTTCCAGCCCAAACTATTCTATAAAATGGCCAACAGCAAAACTCTAAAAAGAGGAAAATAGCTTTTCCTGAATTACTAGGAAAATATAAGCTTGAGAGCAAAATCCTGGGTTTGAAGGAGGGTGCTGGTGGCACTGTACATATTCAATGCATATAAAATTATACTGAGTTTTTTGCTGTTTTGTTTTGTTTGGTTTTTTTTTTTTATTTCCTTGCTCATTTTGTTGGAGTTTTGCATGAGCTTTGCATAATTGGTTTTTTTCACTATTCTTGACATCTCTCAAAATCAGATTAAATGGCCAAAAGAGACAATGCCACAAACCAAATAACATCATTGCTTCTGAAGTATTACAGAACTTTTTTCACTTCAACTGCACAGATCAGATTAGGAAGGCAAACACAACACATCCAGATTCATTGCTCAACATTTGCAGAAGCAATTCAAACAGGGCACTAAAGTCACATGAAACCATGACAAACATGGACAGACTTTTGTAAGAAAATCATGGCGCATACAGGGTGTTTTAAAAGAACAAGCTTGATTTACTGGCATGAGAAAAATGTTGCTGTCACTGTAACATTTCTAAGCTGGGACTTTCATTTAACATATTTTGATTTTCTCACTCCCTACCATTGCAAAAGTTCAAACCTCTCCCAAAGGAAAACATATACAAGTAGTCCTGCACATTTTCCATCTTGAGCGGCAACAAGCAACGTGCTGTGGAGGGGCAGAATGCAATTAAAATCCTAATGGACTGCATCCAGTCTTGGACACTGGCAGGATAGAAGGACCTCAGAGGGTCATGGAGGAGGTAAATCAGTGCAATGTATGAAGGTACACACCATATACTATTCATTGTGTTTGCCTGTGAGCAAAAAGCAGAATAAAAACATCACAGGGGATCAGATCCTTCTCTCACGGGCACTGCATGCAAAGCTGCCTCCAGGGGCTTAAATCCTTCCCCCTTTTCCCCCAGTGCCACAATAAAAACAGTTTCTGATAATATTAAGGAGGCTCCTGTAAATTGAGACTCCTCTGGGAAATGGCACCTTCTCCCTAAAAGCCACATCCCCCACGCTGGGGAAGGGGAGCTCTGTGTGGGTTCTTGTGGTCAGAGGATCTGGAAAATAAAAACCAGCAAAGCCCTAATTGACTGAGTGTCTTCAAACCCCAGACACTCCCACAGCTCCAGAGCAGACAAAAACTAACTAAATCCTCCCAAGAGCTGCAGTTTTCCCACCTGTGTGTGGCACAGGAGGGCTGCTGACCCCAGGCAGCAGCTGGATGCTCCAAGAACAGCATTTCCTGGGATCCAGGAGTTCCAGAAACACCTGGTTTATTCATGCAGCCACAGAAATGTAAAGCTTTTCTTGTGGCAATCCATCAGAGGAACAGGGCAGCTAAAGCCAAGCCTTGTGCTCGGAGAGGTACTGGGGAATTTTGTCTGTGTGATCACCTGGTGACACCAAGATCCATCTCCTCGGGTTTGGGATTTGCAGACAGAGATTTCTGTCACATCCAATCTCTTTGGAGCCCATCAGCACTGAGCAATAAAGCTGTCTAAGGAAGGCTGAAATAAAGCTGTAATGTTTTCCAGAACTCAGGATGTCCCTGCTGTTGGTTCAGAGAAGCTCTTCTGGTTTCACTCTATAAAATCTCCCAGGACCTACCACTACACTCCTAAGAGAAAAATACAGATATTTGCTGGGTTTGTAGAGCTGAGGAGACAGAATTCCAGGCAAGTCCTAGGGCAGCATTCACAAAAGAGAGCATTAATTATGGAGCTCTTTCTTGGCACAGGGCAAGGCAATCCAGAGCCATTGTGTGACCATCCAGGAGTGTTTGAGGTTACCCCCAGCCCATCACCCTCTGCCACAAAGTGCCACTTCTGCCTCACACATTTCCTCCATGCTGGAAAAAGATCACAAGGTACAGATTTGACAGGGAAACTTTGGATTCAGGTGCATCCCTTTTAAATAATCCCTTTTAAATTTTAGGCAGCCTTATCTCTTCAGACACAGCCTATCTGAAAAATCTCAGTATCCACTGACAATATTAATCAATTCTTTTCAGAGACAGTAAATGCAAAAATCAAAATGTTATTCAAATTTACTTAATAGGGTGGATTTTTGAATTATAACTAATTATTTGGCTTTTGTCTGTAATGCACTGGCCTTAGACAAAGCTTTTTTGAACACCTTCAATTTTGAATTCAGTCTTTTGTGATGCATGGAAATGTCCTGCTTTTCCATTTTCATCCAAAAAAGAAAAGCTGAGGGATTAAATAACTTGCCCAGGGACAGAGAGAGTAAACTTGAATCAAAGCAGAGAATTAAAAGCAGATCTCCTACAGCTTTGGCAGGTTCCTGTCCCAATAATCAGCTTTTCCTTATCTAACCACAGCATCAGCTACTGAGCAAAAAGATCATGGGCAGCACCAGAACAGCAAAACATCTTCCAGCTGTGCTTGCCCTGATACAATTTCCTGACTTTTCTCTCTGTGTGTTGGACCAAGGCTGAATCCCAGCTCAGGAGAATGCAGGGAAGCAGAGGAGGGATACCAGATTTTCCCTGCCCAGGCTCCAGCAGGCAGTGGATCAGCTGGGAATTGGGATTGTTTGGGTTTTTTCTCTTTGAGCAGCACTTGCTGCATGTCATATTTTAATGCCAAGCTTCTCAATCATGGAAAGCTAACCAGCAACAAGTGAAATAAATCTAAAATAAATATTGATCCTCATCTCTGA